AAAGAGGGTAAAAAGGATTGGTCCTAGAACAGATTCTTGAGGCACTCCTATTGCCTTACTGAGGACATTTTGGACATAAACTACTGTGTACTGAGTTCTGCTTTTTATATAACAGGCGAACCAACAACAGACGTTACCCCAGAAGCCATAACTTGTGAGTAGTATTGAATGGTAGATTGTGTCTAAAGCTTTGGTTAGATCTAAAAATACCCCTATACAGTAACTTCTATCATCAAGTTTTGGATAAAAGTAGAGTGGAAAGAGATAATTCGTTTTGCCATTCTTAGGAAAAGAGATAATTCGTTTTGCCATGAGGCGTTCCATGATCTTTTCAAAGACAGAAAGAGGAGAAACAGGCTGATAATTTTCAGTCCGCATTTTATAACCAGCCTTGAAAATTGGAATAACTTTGGCAATTTTCCATATATCAGGTACTGTAGCCTGAGCCTGGCCGTAAGACTCTTAACAGGGGAGCAGTAAACAGCTCTCCTAGAAGTATTCAGGTGAGCTATAAGAATAGAAACAAAGGAAAAATTGATTCCAAGGAGAGCAAATTTGCTTTTTAAAAAAATTTAAGAGAGCAATCTCTAACTCCCCTCCAGCGTTTGAGGAGAGCCTGGAGGGGAGCAAGAGCTATGGCTCTCCTCAAATGGCCAGGCCTGTGTACCATACTAAAAAATGCATATTATAGATGTGTGTGGGGGGCTTTGTTTAGATTTAGATTGGATCATAAATAATTTCACATAAAAAAGGGTGTGTAGTGATTTTAATATTGTAAATTAGGCCATATTCCTACATCATGCCATCGTCATGACATCCACCTAGGTCATTCACAGCATCACCTAGCACAGGATACCCTTCACCATTGTACACACTTTCACACATCTATGTCATGCTGATTTCTTCCCAAGTCTAAATTTTTCCTTCTCCATTGCATCATCATTACATTATCACAACACATCATTACTCAGCACATTTATTTTGTATAAAAGTATGTTAATTTGTATGTAAGTCAGTCAAGTTCAGTTCAATCAGATCAGAGATATAAGCAATACACTGTCTCTCTCACTGGCTCCATGTTCTCTGCACGTTAAATAAGATTGTCGAAGTAACACCAATGATGAAAAGTCACAGGATATGATAGGAACCATTGCAATTATTGCTAAATAATAGCGTTCCTATAGGTGTTTCATGATTTTAAAAAAAATAAGTTTCTTAAAAATGATCTTGTAAAGAGAAACTTTTTTAAAAAACCATTGCTTCTTGTGTGACACTCTTCAGAGTACAAAATGTCATAATGACGATTGAAAAAATAGTATTTAGAAAATAATTCCAACATCTTTTTGCTCACTTCAACACATTCAAATGGCCAAAAAATTCTTGGATAAAGAAAATAAGTAACAGAATGTGTTATAGAAGCTTTCTTGCCACATTAATGACAACATATGTGCTAATGTGCTAATCATTGATTAGACCCTGGTTCACTTTCACATTAATTTACATGAAAACCCTAGGTTCAACATGGGTTGTTGAATGTGTGTGACATTTTAATACTTAAGTGGGGAACAGTATATTGTCTTTCTAGTGCACAATAGCTTTTTTTATCACTATTTTCATTGACTGCATCAAACCCAGAAAACAGAGAGGTGTGCCTTCCAATGTACAATGAAATCTTTCTTTAAGACTGAAATTCAATAATATCATTTTACATGAAAGCAAATAAGCAAACTGGATATCAGCATAAAAAGCCATGGATAAAGAATGGCTTGAAATATGACATAGTTGCCTTATTTTTTGTCTCCAAACCAATCACAACTACACAGATAAAAAACTCATTCAAAGCAACATTCTTCATCTGCAACATTCTTTTCTGAACCAAAAACTTCTACTTCTGCATTTCGCTTAAATTCTTTCTCTTAACATACCCCATGGCTAGCTCTGCCTCCTTCAATTCCATATGCAAAAAGTAATTCTTTCCTTGTGCAGTAAATGTTGAAAAAGCCCTTTCTGAAAGTGGGTATTGAATATGCTCTACTGGGAAATACGTTGTTCGCTTTCTAGCAATTATGTTCATGGTTTCAACAGCAAATGAGCTTTTCAATGGATTATAAAACATTCTGTGAACATAGACGCGTGTGAACCAGTGAAGAATGAGGGTCGTCGATACACCCATCAATAATACTGTTGCCCCAACTGCGATCTTTCCTGCCATTGGAATACGTTCCTTTCCATATGCAATCAAGATCGGTGTTCCGATGAGAGAAGCGACACAAGTTGCTAGGGAGAATGTTTTTATATATTTTACTGTACTTGAAAGTGGTCCTTCGTAAACAAGTCGGTAGTCTTTATGCACATTTCGAACAACAAACTTTCGCAACGAGGAGCCAGTGTTTCTACCGCCTAGGCCAGCTACAATCGAACGTGTAACCAGCAAATTGTTCCCACTCTTATTACAAAGACTGAATCCTGCAACCCTGAAGGGTAAGCGAACCAATAATGTCACACAAGTCATTATTTAATGCACGAAGAGAGCGTACCTTGTTTCAGTTAAAGGAATCTTTGGTAGCTCTCTTTTAGCGCTCAGCCTTCGCCAACAACACGCAACAAAAAAGAGGAAAACCATGTCCAGCCTAGCCTACTATCCATGCCGAGGCTGTCACGAGAATCCAACTCCAACTCACCGCTGTCACCAATCTTATTTGCTCCATTCACACCTACATTCTCATTCAACAATCAACAACAAAATTTACAAAATTTATAAAATTTACAAAATTTACAAATATTACTTATACTATTATAGGAACAGAAGATTACTACATATGTGATTTAGGTAGAGTACATTCATATAAATCAGTATTTGTCTAGAAAACTGAGAGAAACCATTTCTAGATAAAATACAATTAGATATGATATATATTTCACGAGGCTTCGGGGATTTAACTAATCAGCTTGAAATTATTATTATTTCTTAAACGTTATGGTCTCTTGAACCAATCTTCCTTACGTTTTCTTGTATCTGCTCTACTAATTTATGGTCTTTCGGCCTCTTGAGGATTTGATTTGTTAAACTTGGGGGCATAGCGTGGGTCTCACCCACCTTGCTTGGTGAAGCCACAATACAAGTAGGCTGTCTATTTTTCCCAGCCCTCCCTCCCTTATTTGGTTTCTTTTTGCAAAAAGCCTTTTCAGTATAGCTTTGACTTTTGAGTTTCTTTTATGGCATCGTTAAAACCTCATACCTTTAGGCATCTTTTATGCTATTTAGCATTTTTTGATGCTATTAGGTAGGACCGGTGCATCGGCTATTAGTGGGGAAAAGAGGCTTTTCCTGTCCATTCCCTCCCAATTATCAATCATATTTGGGGGTTATTGTGTAACTTCCCTTAGTAACCCCTATATGGTAGGTTGAGCGATTTGCGCCGATGCACCAACGACCCAACTTTTCTCGATGTGGGAACGTAGCCTCATGGCTGACCTTCTGATGTCTTTGACAGTTTTTCTGAAGAAGCTTTATGCCCTTCACATTGTATTAGTATGTCATTCCCGAGCTAGTAAAATAATAATCGATAAATATATGTATATATCATATGTAATTATTGGTAAAAAACTAATCAAAATTTGAAAAGTAGATTTTAGAAACATAATTAATACAGCAAAACTGGATTTTCACAATTTCTAATCGGCATGAACGGAGGAGCGCATTTAAAAGTCACATAGAAATGTAGGCGAACAATAGCCTCAGTTCCAGACCCCAAACTAAAATTTGGAGTTTGGGGCTCAGGCTACCAGTTGGATGCTTTCAACTGGTTTATAAAACGTAAGACTTTCTTGATGCAGTATTTCGTGAAAATCTCCGACTGCGAATCGAGTTTATATTATGTGTCTGCTCCTCAAAACTTATGACCGTAAACTGTGCTCATTTTTATTCCGTCTTTATTGGAAATTTTTGAACCTATAGAATGGTAAATTTATAAATGGCAATTAGCCAGATACCAAGCAGCCATCTGGCCAGCAACGGCTATGCCCCTTTCCCCCTCTTTTTTCAACGATATTAGCTGTTTGAGAATTGCACCCTCACTTAAGAAACAGAGGCTATGTTTCCATCTGCAGCGCACAAAGCAGTCTCAGGCTACCAGCCGGCCAATAGCAAGGTCGAACTACAATGTTTTGTTTTGGAGGGCCAGCCCTGATAAATAAGTGTAACAACAGCCATTAGTAACAAAAAACTATTATACTTATGCCACTTAAGTTTTTTGGGGGCCAATGCTACTGCCCCCCCCCCCGGCTCCCCGGCATCTCGGTCTTTGAGCAAGGTAAACTACCATCGAGGAAATTCTTGGTGAGAATGGCTGCCGACATGTTGCAATTGAAATTGTACCTGCAAAGATGCGTTTCTAAAAGCTTGGTTCTAAGAACTATTCGCAAGCCCCCTCTTGAATCCACTACGCACGAACCCCTGTTTTCCATGGTTTGATCATAGCAGCGGATTGCATTCATAAAAGTGAGGGGGGGGGGAGAGGGATGGGTAAACCTTTATCCAAATATTCATTTAAACAATGCATCCTTGTAAGGACATCGATTCTTTTATACAGTACTTGTTTAAACTGAACATGGCGGTGTCACATCGATGCAAGATATATTTGGCATTTGACGCTGATTTTCTATACCACCTTCCAGTTAATTTCTCTAACCCATTTCTTTTGTTTGCTTTGCCCCCTCCCCCATTAAAGCTCGTTTTGATTAGAGGCTTCACTTATCTGGCATCGTGAATGCCAGCGGATCTTGGCATAATATTACTTAATATAACTTAAAGTTTGTTAATAGTTAAGGCCCCATTGATGAGAGAGGGCCGCAAAATTAGTTCTTTGGCATGAAATGGAATTGAAACTTACACCGTTAAAAAACACAAGAGCATTCCCACGCTGGATCAATATTCTCCGGTTACAGCCTCCATTGAACCAGGCCTAAATAAAGAATTCAAATGCAAGAGACAAAATAGGTTGTACGCATATTTAAACTATATTCCAATTTAATTGCAATGCTCGAGTACAAAGTTAAAAGAATTTGCTAATTAAAACCGCTAAATACTGCATACTTTTACGACTTTCTTGAATTTCCCATTATCTATTTCTCGCATCGCTAGCAAACAGACGCGGAAATCGCAATTTTACAATACCTCTATACATAAAGAAAACAGACATGCTTAGAGAAAAATTTACAAAAAAACCATTTGCTTCTTCAGCCACATTTGGAATAATTCAGAATTACAAAAAAACAAGATTGAATCATAGCTAAAGAAATGACGTCAAGTTAAGCAAAATATACGTTTTTATTCGTTTGCTGCGCAACTAATGTAAAGGCATCGGGCACAAAGTATTTCAAATAAGTCTTCAATACTTTCCTGCTATTTTTCTAATCTATACAGAAGCCGGGATTTTGAAAAATCCAGCAAACAGCGCCAGAAAAATATACAAGGGAGAAACGAAGCCCGGGAGGGGTCTCAAAATCTTTCTAAGCGCATTTTAAGGGGCGATTATTCTCCAAAGGGGATCACATCATTTCCAGCAGTCTTTTAATTGTTGTCAATTCAAGCCTCTGACTCAAAATTTCGTTGAAAAAAAGAGACGGTAGCTGCCTCTTTACAAGAACATTGATTCTTGCAAATTTAATGTCTGAAAACGACCAAGTGAGTTACCATTAAACAGTGCAATTACTGCAACATCTAGCTCGTTTTTGCTGTGATTTTTCTTTAAAATCTCATTCTGCTTTTATTATATCTAGGGTTAAAGAAAAATATTTCCTCAAATTCGAAAAATCTTGGATGGAATGAGGTTTTTATCTAAACGAAAAAAATAATGAGCAATAGAAAAACGATCTGGGACCGATCTTCCCTGGAAACCTTTTTTTACCTTCTGTTGCATTTTAGCCGTTTCATAGTACTATGAAAAGGTACTGGTCGTTCAATTTTTACCAGGTGCTATACAAAGGTATAAATTTGCCTTTTGAAAAGGAATTAGTACATTTATATATCTACCACGCCAAAGGCAACAGACAGTGTCACCTTAGTCTGTTTCCATGCTGCATTTATTACACACACTGTGGCAGGGCTGGAAAAAGTACTGGACAATGGGACCATTGGCCAAAACAAAAACTTTAATCTCCCAGAAATTTTAAAAAAGGACATACTGTGCGGTTAAAATTGGTATCTTTGTATTAGTCATCAAATTCCTGAATCATAATTTTTGCATGTTGATTCGCTATGATAATCATCAGAATTATGCACCCTTCATCGCCTCGTAACCGCATCGAGGCTCGCAGTGCAGAGCACGGTTTTTACATTCTAATGAGAGATATATTCTTTCTGGTTAGATGCTACGAGGAGGCTCGAAGAACTCAAATCTGAGTTCGCCGTGTCCCCGCCAATTAGGTCCCAGACAGGAAAGCATTACTTCCACCCCTGCAAAGCAGTGTAATAGATTCACCTATTCGAGACATTATAATTGAAAGCTAATCATTTTTATAAAAGAAATTTAGATCGCTTGGTTCATCTGGCAATGTCGGGGGTGTCTCTGGAATGGGAACGTCCTCCACGTCCAGCAACAGCAGTTTCATTTCCATGTTTAATAATGTTTCAAAGTCCTCCTTCGCTTTTTCAGACGTCATCTGCGAAAAAAAATCATTGCGTCGAGTCACCTGCAGCAAAGATCGGTAGCAAAGTATACATGATTTCTATTTGGTTTATATGAAATGCCAGTCAGATAACGGAGCAATTCTGAAAGAAGGGGGGTGTTTGTGGCATGAGTGAGAAGCATATGAAGTCTGTTCTGGTACACTGAAAGTATAATTGGACAATCAGAGCAAGGAAGCTACAGTAAACAGATTGAAACTCGCTGTTAGGCCATCAGATTAATATTTTTATAGTCTACAGACTTTTTAGCAGCTAAAGGGGAGACATTCTCTTATCTTCAATTAACAAAAATAACTTCGCATTTTTTACACTTCAGAGTTGAGGAGTAGTTATTCAGGTGGTCTTTCATAGTTACTAGAAATAACGAGAATTTGGCAAAAATTGCAGCTCACCTCTTTATTGAGCAAAGACCTCAGGCCATCAGACCAGACAGAACACTAAAAAACAATTGCAGCATGACTTGAACATTAATCAGTAACAAGGAAATATACTTCAGAAGGTGGCTTTAGAAAGATGCTGGCTAAGTCACTTGGCAAGAGAGTGAATCAGCAACTAAAGAAATTCCACTCACCACCTGGGCGTTCGGTGCAATGAAATCCAGATGTTCCTCTTGCCCGTGTAACAACGAAAACGCCAGTTGCAAATGGCCCTTTGAGAGTAATAAAAAGCTGGCTTGAAGGCAATGTGCAAAACATGAAAGTCAGATAGATGTTCTTGCAACGATATAAATAGAAAATTCTCAAAACATCATTGTAGTTAATTACCCGATCGCAGTTTTTGAAAAACAAAAATAAGTTTCTATTCCGAGTCAAAAAAATTACCAACAGCTTTATTACCAAAACGTCCTACACCATTATGACTATTTGTACGCGTAACAATTAACACATGTCGAATCATTTCACCAGCAGACATAATGTAAATACTCGAAGCTCTGAGGGCCTATTTACTTTGGACGTTCGTGGATGAGGGCTGATTTTTGGGGTGTTGGACCAGGCGGTGGGCTGAAAGAAATTTTCTAGTGACAGTGAGTTTATAAACAATTTTTACTTTCAGAGTGGGGGCGATTTGTAAAAGAACTGGACACTTAATGAAAACATTTGATGTGGAACAATAAAAATAGTCAGACTCGAGTCTCTAAATGAGCCGCACACTGTCGCATTCGCTTTTAACCTTTTTTGGCTAGATTAAAAGGAGCTTTGTTAAAATTTTAAGAGGAGTTGGGAGAGCGGAAGGGAGATGGGAGAGCGGAGGGAAGGTCAATTAGAGTATATGCAGTATCGACAGCACCGACCGAATTTCAAACTACTTCATACATGCACTTTAAATGGAACTTTAACAAATTTCTAACAAACCTTTCTAAATTTGGTTTCTTTAACAATCGGGGAGTCTTTTCCAAATACGATGTCCGTGACTTCTGATATTGGTACTAGACAAAATAGCATGCAAATCAATGATCGAAAGCCAGCGCTAGGGGTAGCCTTATCAAAGATACCGCTTGTGTAATTACATTTCTTCGTCTTAAACTAACACGAATTTATATTTTTAGCTTGAAAACAACGAGTTTGGCATTGAGGCTAAAAAAATCTACAAAATGTAGGGAAACAAAAGCGTGTTAACTTTAAATTATTTGGGAAGATTGGGGATTCTAAAGGAAAACCGCAAATGAATTTCTCCAGCAAAAGGTACAGATGGGACATGGTTTTAAGCAAGAGATATCAACAAATGATAAAAAGCTAAAGCTAGGTAACTAACTCACATTTATTTGGCAATGCTTCCAAGGGAGGAGCTGCCTGTTCTTCGGCATCCCCGTAGTGCAGAAATCTTGAATTCGGCGAAAGCCGACAATACCAGAACTTTTCTAGAGGTAACCAAGAGTAACTTCAAGTTACTTTGAGGTAACGTGAATAAAGCGATAAAATCGGTAAAGATAAGATTGTGGTTACAATTGACAGCTGACAGAACTGCTAATAACGAAACGGATTAGGAAACTGCCATGTCATAATGAGTGTAAAATAGAAAGCATCCAAGTACGAATTTTCCAGCATTACGATTCAAATAAACCAATAAATTCGAATTATCAGATTCCATCTAAAAAAATGTGCAATTCTATTACACCTTTAAAAGTTAGTAATATTTAGTTGGTATCTTACTGGATGCATACCATAACAATATTATACATAGACTGTGGGAGGCTAACCTTTTTGCTTTCCTCGACTTAACACTCTGTGAAAAAGCTGTCCTTCGACCAGCTGAGCCAGCCGTTGCTGACGTACTAAACTTTTGATATCTGGCAATACTTTTTCCCTCAGTTCACTGTAAAAAGACCATAGATAATGACACTGCTGAATATAAAAAATTTACCCAAAGACTGTGAACAAATAAAAGCTCTTTTTCTTTTCCATATAAGAAAATTGTTGTTAAAGGAGAACTGACACGCAAAATTAAGTTTGGCTAAAACGGTAGTTTGTGACAAGCAAATTCCGGGATAGAAAGAATTTTTCAAATCACAGTTACCGTTTTTGAAATACAAGCGTTTTAAGTTGAGAAACGACAATTGTTCCGACAACTTGAGACTCGAGGCGAAAATCGTCACGAGTGGGCGATCATCTTTGACGTCACAAGTGACATGTTCTCAGCACGTATTGTGTTTCTCTATAGAAACCTTTAAGAGAATGCTGCGGAGAAATGTTTATTTTGTGCATCTGAAAGGAGCTAATTTTGCAATTTTGACACATAATTGACTTTTTCAATGGTTTGGGACTCTGAATCGGAGTTTTATTACACTGATTTCGAAACAAATGGAGAGTTTCAGCTGTCTGAGTTTTTGCTGCCAACCAGCGCTGCCGCTTGGGCAGACAGTCGTCCCATGGCTCAACAGTGACGATATTGTAAACAAAGAACAGACTGGAAGTGCAAACTGATATGGAATTTCTATTAAAAACAATGCTATTGCTACAATCTAAATGAGATCAGGTATCGTAAAACTAGAATTTCATTTCAGATTGAGGCGTCTTTGTCCAGACTGCTTTGTCTGTATGGCCTAAGTTGGCTAAAATGCCCATGATGCCCTAAACGGAACTGCAAGTTATTCATTATTAATTAATGTAACATTCTATGATTGTTTTTCAATGTTTCAAACGCGTTAACTGTATCGTGATATTAAATAGTGAAGGCGGGTTAAAAGTCGACTTGTGCGTATTATATGCCATTTTCACCGGGCGTGAAGGGTTTCGGGAACTGATAAGTTACCTGGCAGTCGAAAAATCTGGATTTACGAAATAGGCTCTTAGCTATTAGCCAAAGAACTTGATTTCTTAGTCGAAAAAATGCTGTTTAGTTGTCATAGGAATATCAACAGGCGCATTATCTTCTTTTGCAAACAATTTTGACTTGGGTGGGGGATGGTCTTTTTCTAGACTAGATTATTCCCTAGTATCTCAACCTCTGTTAAAATACAATAATCAAGATCAGTGAAATTATTATTTAGTCACACTCGCAGCTCCCATCAAACAAGGTTTTTTCTTGAATTCATATTTCTGCACCCTAAGCAGGTTGCAGGATCGCTTTTACCGCTGTCTCCACTAGATTTCGTTTGTCGTTTGGCTATTGCTTCAACCCCCCCAACCCCATATTGCAGTTTTATTTGTAATTGTAAAAATAAAAACTTTGAAGAAACGGTATCAGTTTTGAAACAAAGTCGATTCCTTTTTTCACAAGCTTTGAGGTTCTTTGAATGTTTCGGAGCATGCTGCTTGGAAGATATCATGGCATAAAAATAAATTTTATGTGGATATTAGCGTCTTATCAGATATGTAGCTAGGATTTTCTAGCTTCTTTATACTTATAAATGAAATGCCTGACAATTTTTTGTCTTTTTATCGCATACTTTTTTCAATAAAACACGAAACTTCATTTGTACTTTCACCGTTGCGGTCAAAGCCTTTACAACGGCATTGTTAACATGTCACTTGTGACGTCAACCGAGAATTTTAACAACTCCTGGCGATAATCTTGTTTCCGCTTCGGGAAATTCCCGAGTCCTGGCTGTGACGTAATTGACGGATAAAAGTGCAAATATCAGAAAAACGGCGAATCTTAGAAGAAAACTTTTTGCAGATTTGAAGTCAGCGACAAATTTTGCATCGAATAAGCCAAAGTTATTTTTGCGTGTCAGTTCTCCTTTAAAGAGCATCAAAAAATAAGAACTTAGAAAAACTAAACGATGAAAACTTACACTACAGGCCTAGACTGTGAGTCTAGAATATTTCTCTCTTGGAACTCTTGCTGCATAAGCTTCAACACTTGCTGATAACTAAGGCCAAATACTTTATTCTTCAAAGGGAAAGAAAATAAAAATAAGAGTGAGTCAGACTATAAATCAGTTTAACACAATTTGTAAATTTGTGGATAACAGTTATACTTTAACTTGTAATTAAAAAATCAATCACGGTAACCCTATTCTATCATGGGTGACTGGCTCCCTCCATGAAGTTTGCTCATATTCTGCACGTGATAGACAAATAAAGAGATCGAATCGTTACTATTACAATCGAGAACAATGAAGTTTTGAGAAAGCATCTGCAATTTAAGTGAAGAGATGTCCACTGATATTGTTCTCTACCCCCCCCCCAAAGACTGACTTCCTCCCCCCCAAAAAAACAAGACTGACTTTAAATATAACTCCGTAATGATATTTATTTACCATCAATTGATAAGATTGCCACGTTAAAACGATGGATGCCTGACATTCCTCTTTGTCGTATTGTCATATGGTATCGATACATCGGTTCGTCTTAAATTATATCAGATAAGCTAGTTTTTGAACTTACGGACAAAATTAGTAAAAAAGAATTAAATTTCACCTTAAAAATTTCAATTGTTTCTGGTTTTTCATTTAGAACTCGCACAATCTGCTCCTTCACAACACTCATAACCTAGTATTTTAAAATGAAACGTAAGCAATACTGTAATGACACATTGAAGAAACAACATTAGATTGCGACAGAAAAAATTGTGAAAAAAGGGGATATTGAAAATACTTTGCTGATGCTGACAATCTACACATTAAATAATTTGTACTGAGCAAAGATAAAGAATTTTTTGTCGCAAATCATGATCAATCGTAGCAACATAGCAACACAAACATGCTTGAAACAAGCAAACTACTAACAGAAGAAGTTGGGAATAAAGTTGTCCAATTTGTTTTGGTTAAGTTGCTGTCAGTATTTTATGACAAGAAAGATGTTGTCCTTAGGTCGTATATTTTGATATTCATAAACAAATCCTTTCTGGAGAACACACTCGCAAAAACCTGTAAACATGAACCCTTAAAAACGCAAAGCCCACACAGCTTTTATGGGTCAGTACCAAATAGACCTTACCCGCGAGAAGTCCCTCGAGGTTGCCCGCATTTCCTTCCAAGTTTTGTTTACCAGCTGTATACAAACACTGTACGTCTCTTCCAGCATCGAGTCAGTTGAAAATAACATCGGGTAATAGTTTTCATTTGTGTCGGAAGCTGAAGATAATAGTAAACTCCTTGAGTTAACCTGTTACGCACAGAATCTGTCTGAAGAATATCAACATAATTCAAGGAACTACGTATGTTTTATTCAGTAATCTTGCAGAAACAAGCAAGAAAGTTTTACTGCAGGCGTAAATAATTTCTTCGTACGAAATTCTTCACAGTATGAGACGTATGAACATTTAAACCGAATAGAGATCAAAGTCCATCTATAGATAGATTGAGACCAGTTGAAAGTGGTCAGATAAGGCGAGGGAGAATGACATTTGCAACTTCAAACCTACATCTATCAAAATTATATCTTCACATTTTCATATTGATGCGATCATCAGGCAAAACTCGAATTAGCAACTTAGAACCGTCCTGTGCTATGAAACTCGAATTAGCAACTTAGAACAGTCCAGTGCTATGAAACTCGATTTAGCAACTTAGAACCGTCCTGTGCTATGAAACTCGAATTAGCAACTTAGAACCGTCCTGTGCTATGAAACTCGAATTAGCAACTTAGAACAGTCCAGTGCTATGAAACTCGAATTAGCAACTTAGAACCGTCCTGTGCTATGAAACTCGAATTAGCAACTTAGAACCGTCCTGTGCTATGAAACTCGAATTAGCAACTTAGAACCGTCCTGTGCTATGAAACTCGAATTAGCAACTTAGAACCGTCCTGTGCTATGAAACTCGAATTAGCAACTTAGAACCGTCCTGTGCTATGAAACTCGAATTAGCAACTTAGAACCGTCCTGTGCTATGAAACTCGAATTAGCAACTTAGAACCGTCCTGTGCTATGAAACTCGAATTAGCAACTTAGAACCGTCCTGTGCTATGAAACTCGAATTAGCAACTTAGAACCGTCCTGTGCTATGAAACTTGAATTAGCAACTTAGAACCGTCCTGTGCTATGAAACTCGAATTAGCAACTTAGAACCGTCCTGTGCTATGAAACTCGAATTAGCAACTTAGAACCGTCCTGTGCTATGAAACTCGATTTAGCAACTTAGAACAGTCCTGTGCTATGAAACTCGATTTAGCAACTTAGAACCGTCCAGTGCTATGAAACTCGAAGTAGCAACTTAGAACCGTCCTGTGATATGAAACTCGAATTAGCAACTTAGAACCGTCCTGTGCTGATAACTCGGAATTTAGCCAACTTAAGAACACGTTCCATGTGGCTATTGAATCTGAGTGCAACTTAGATTACCGTCCTGTGTCTATGAAAATACAGATTTAGCATTCTAAGATACCGTCCTGTGTCTTATGAACTTCGAATTAGCAACTGATAGACTACTGTCCTAGTAGCTATGAAACTCGAATTAGCAACTTAGAACCTGTCTTGCTATTGTCTAAAATTCTCGAATTTAGCCAACTTTAGAACCGTCTCATGTGCTTATGAAACTTCGATTTACAACTTAGAAACCGTCCTTGTGCCTATGAACTCGAAAATAGCAACATTAAACCAGCTGTGCTATGAACTCGAATTAGTTGCAATCTTAGAACCGTCTCTGGTCTATGAAACCTCGATCTATGCTAACTAGAACAGTCTCTTCAGTGCTATGAACTCGGATATAGCAACTTAGAACCGTTACCTTTGTGCTTATGGAACTCGAATTAGCAACTTAGGAACCGTCGCTTAGTGCTTATGAAAGCTTCGAATTAGCAACTTAGAAACCGTCCTGTGCTATTGAACAACTCGAATTAGCAACTTAGAAACGTCTGTGCTATTTGAAACTTCGTAATGTAGCAACTTAGAATATCGCTGTGCTATTTGAATACTCGTATTTAGCAACTTATGTAACCTGTCCTGTGGCTTTCTATGAGTGTAACGATCCTCAAGAATTATGCGATTATATCTTAGAACGTCCATTGCTATGAACTTCGAATTAGCAACTTAGAACCGTCCTGTGGCTATGAAACTTCGAATTAGAACTTTAGAACCGTCTCTGTGTGCATATTGAATATTCTTTTGAATTATCAAACTTAGAACCGTCCTGTGGCTATGAAGACTCGGTATTAAGCACTTAGTTAACCGATTCCTTTGTGCTATGAAAACTGAATTGAGCAACTTAGAACCGCTGCTAGATCTCATTAGTAATACGTACTGCTTGAAATCTTGAGCAACTGTAGAACGTGCCGTCTATTGAAACTCGAATTAGCAACTTAGAACCGTCCTGTGTCAAGTATGAAACTTGAATTAGCAATCTTAGAACCGTCCTTTGTGCTATGAAACTCAATAGCAATTGTATACATCTTGCTTTGAAACATTAGCAATGACACCTTGTCGTCCTTTATACGAATAATTAACAGTCCAGCTAATGAGAACTCGAAGTAGCAACGATTCCTTGCTATGAACCGATTAGCACTTAAAGTCTGTGCTAAAGAAACTTGAATTAGGCAACTTTAGAACTACCGTCTGGCTATGAAACTCGAATTAGCTAACTTAGAATCGTCCTGTGCTTATGAAACTCGAATTTAGTTCGAACTGTAGATCGTCCTTGCTGATGATAACTCGAATTAGCTATATAGAACCTGCTGTTGCTAATGAAACTCGAATTTAGGGGCAATTCTTGATACCCATTCCGTGCTATGAACATCGATACATACTTTTAGAAACCGTCCTGTAAGAACTTGTTGGTTAGAACGTCCTGTGCTATAAACTCGATTAAGCCTAGAACCCTCTAGAATCGAATGCTACTTATCTGCTGTGTCTATGAAACTCGAATTAGCAAACTTAGAACCGTCCTGTGCAAGAAACTCGATTAGCAACTTAGAAACCTGTCCCTGTGCTATGAAACTCGAATTAGTAACTTTAGAAACCGTGCTGTGCTATGAAACTCTGATATTAGCAACTTAGGACCGTCCTGTGCTAATTGAAACTCGAATTAGCAACTTAGAACAGTCCATGTGCTATGAACTCGAATAGTTCTAATTACTAGAACCATCCTGTGCTATGAAACTCGAATTAGCTAACTTATAACCGTCCCTGTGCAAGAAACTTTCTGAATTAGCATACTTAGAACCGTCTCTGTCTATGAAACCTGAATTAGCAACCTTTAAGATACGTCCTGTGCATAGAAACTCTGTAATTAGGCAACTTAGACCGTCCTGTCTATGAAACTCGAATATAGCGAACTTAGAACCGTCATGTGCTTAGAAACTTGATCATTTTTAGCACTTAGAACCGTTCCTGTTGCTGATGAAACTTCGAATTATGTCAACTTTAGAACCAGTCCAGTGCTATGAACTTCCGAATTGAGTCACTTTAGATACCGTCCTGTGTATTGAAACTCGAATTTAGCACTTGTAATCCGTGCCTGTGCTATGAAACTCGACTCGTAGCAACTTTATGAAACCGCACTGTGCATGATGAACTCGTAATTGCATAGGAAACTGCGTCCAGTGCTATTGATCTAAGAGTAACTGTGACCACTGTGTAGAATTCAATTGCATTATTCAGAAACCTCTGTCAGCTGTGACTTAATTTACCTGCTTATGTAAACCTGAATTTAGCAATCTTAAGTAACTCTTGTGTCTTGCTCGTTGAACTAGAACCGTGTATAACTCGAAATATGCTAACTTATGAACCGTCCTGTGCTATGAAATCGAAATACAGATACGTTCCTGCAGTGAGACGTATTAGCTCACATTAGAACCGTCCTGGTGCTAGAAACTCGAAATTAGCAACTTAGAACCGTCTTCCTGTGCAAAGAAACTGAATTAGCAACTTAGAACCGTCCTGTGCTATGAATACTTCGATAGCACTTGAGAACCGTCCTGTGCTTTATGGAGTAACACTTGCAGCCTGGTATATGAGTCAGTAGTACTTTTGAGAAGTCAGTTCTATAGATAACTCTTGCATATCTTGGTAGCGTTATGCAAAACTCGATTAGCAAACTTAGAATCCGTTCCTGTGGCTATTGAAACTCGAATTTGCAACTTAGAACCGTCCTGTGCTATGAACTCGAATAGCAACTATAGAACCGTCTGTGCTTATGAACTCGATTATGCAACTTAGAACAGTGCACGTGCCTATGAAACTCAAATTTAATGCAACTCTTTTTAGATACCGCTGTCCTGTGATAACTCGACATTATGGCTCGTGAACAGTGCCTACTTGCTATAAACATTATTAGCAACTAGAATCCGTTTCTAAAAACTTGCTATGAACTCGAAATTTAGCAAACTTAGAAACCGTTCCCTGTGCTATGATAACTCGAATTAGCATACTTGAGAAACCGTTCTCTGTTTGCTTTTTTTTGTTTTGTTTTTCATCAGTAACACTCGATATTGGAGCAAAACTTAGTAAAAACCGGTTCCAAATGTTGTGGCATAATGCTTGTGCAAATATGAAGACTCGAATTAGCAACTTAGAAACCGTCATTCTGTGTATCATGAAGATACTCGAATGAGCAACATTAAAACCTGTCTGTGCTAGTGAATACTCAAGATATAGCAAACTAATAGAAACGTCCTTTGCTCTATGAAAACTTCATGACAGAAATAATGCAACTTAGACTCATACGTCCTGTGTCAATGAAACTCAATTAGCAACTATAGAACCGTCCTGTGATAGAAACTACTGAAGTAACTTAGACAACCCGCAAGTCTAAGAACTCGAATTACCTGGCCTGATGCCTATGAAACTCATGAAAATTAGCAAAACTTAGAACCTCCTTGGCTTGACTCATTAGCCATGACCACCATGAAATGACAGAAACTGAATTATGCAACTTAGAAACCGTCCTGTGCACTATGAAACTCGAAAGTTAGCAACTAGACGCGTCCTGTGCTTATGAAACTCGATGATTAGACGCAAAAAACTGATTACAACTAGAACCGTCCTGTGCATGAAACTCGAATTGTAGCCAACTTAGAACACGTCCTGATGCTATAAACTCGAATTAGCCAATCCTGTATAACGAATTAGCTAGAACCGTCCTGTGCTATTGAAAACTCGAATTTAAGCAACTTAAACCGTCTGTGTAGAAACTCGAATTAGCTTAAACTGCTTAATCGAATAGCAACTAGACCGTCCTGTGCAAAGAAACTTGAATTAGCAACTTTAGAACCGTCCTGTGCTATGAAACTCAGAAAGTAGCACTTAGAAACCGTCCTGTGCTATGAATATCTGAATTAGCAACTTAGAACCGTCCTGTGCAAAGAAACTAATGAATTAGCAACTTAGAACCGTCTTGTGCAAAGAAACTTGAATTAGACTTAGAACCGTCCTGTGCTATGAAAACTCGAATTAGCAACTTAGAACCGTCCTGTTGGCTATGAAAACCGAATAGCAACTTAGAACGTCCTGTGCTGTGAAACTCGAATTAGCAACTTAGAACCGTCCTGTGGCTATGAACTCGAATTAGGCAACTTAGAAACCGTCCCTGTGCTATGAACTCGAATTAGCAACTTAGCACCGTTTGCTATGAAATCGATTTAGCAACTTAGAACCGTCCTGTGCAAAGGAAACCTTGAATAGCATTAAACGTCTGTTTGAACGAATTAGCACGACCGTCCTGTGGCTATGAAACTCGGAATTAGCAACTTAGAACCGTCCTGTGCATATGAAACTCGAAAGCACTTAGCAACTATGTTAGAAACCGATAACTGACCCTGGCTATGAAATGACATAACTGAGAACCTGTCTAACTGACTCAAGATAGCACCACTTAGAAACCGTCCTGTGCTATGAAACTCGAATAGCATACTAGAACCCGTCCTGTGCTATGAAACCGAATTAGCAACTTTAAACCTGTGCAACTCATAGAATTGACTATGAAAAAAACATGCATGAAACTGAATTAGCAACTTAGAACCGTTCCTGTGCAAAGAAACTCGAATAGCAACTTAGAACCGTCCTGTGCTATGAAACTCGAAATTAGCAACTTAGAACCGTCCTGTGCAAAGAAACTCGAATTAGCAACTTGAACGTTCCCTGCTTGCTAGAAAACTCGAAGTAGCAAACTTGAACCGTCCTGTGCAAAGGAAACTCGAATTAGCAACTTAGGAACCGTCCTTGTTGCTATGAAAACTCGAGATTAGCAACTAAACCGTTCCTGTGCTATGAACTCGAATTAGCAACTTAGAACCGTCCTGTTGCAAAGAAACTCGAATTAGCAACTAGAACCGTCCTGTGCTATGAAACTTCGAATTAGTAACTTAGAACGCGTCCTGTGATATAAACTTGGAAATTAGCAATTAGAACCGTCCTTGTGCTATGAACTCGTATTAGTAGCAA